CATATCTTCTTTATCCATTCATCTGTTGATGGACATCTAGGTTCTTTCCATAGTTTGGCTATCGTGGACATTGCTGCTATAAACATTTGGATGCATGTGCCCCTTCAGATCACTACGTTTGTATCTTTAGGGTAAATACCCAGTAGTGCAATTGCTGGGTCCTAGGGTAGCTCTATTTTCAACTTTTTGAGGAACCTTCATGCCGTTTTCTAGAGTAGTTGCATCAGCTTGCATTCCTACCAACATTGTAGAAGGGTTCCCCTTTCTCTGCATCCTCACCAGCATCTGTCATTTCCTGACTTGTTAATTTTAGCCATTCTGACTGGTGTGAGGTGGTATCTCATTGTGGTTTTGATTCGTATTTCCCTGATGCCAAGTGAAGTGGAGCAATTTTTCATGTGTCTGTTGGCCATCTAGATGTCTTCTTTGCAGAAATGTCTGTTCATGTCCTCTGCCCATTTCTTGATTGGGTTATTTGTTCTTTGGGTGTTGAGCTTGATAAGCTCTTTATAGATTTGGATACCAGCCCTTTATCTGATATGTCATTTGCAACTATCTTCTCCCATTCTGTCAGTTGTCTTTTGGTTTTGTTAACTGTTTCCTTTGCTATGTAAAAGCTTTTAATCTTGATGCAGTGCCAATAGTTCATTTTTGCCCTTGCTTCCCTTGCCTTTGGCGATGTTCCTAGGAAGAAGTTGCTGCAGCTGAGGTCGAAGAGGTTGCTGCCTGTGTTCTCCCCAAGAATTCTGATGGATTCCTTTCTCACATTGAGGTCCTTCATCCATTTTGAGTCCATTTTCGTGTGTGGTGTAAGGAAATGGTCCAGTTTCATTTTTCGCGCATGTGGCTGTCCAATTTTCCCAACACCATTTGTTGAAGAGGCTGTCTTTTTTCCATTGGACATTCTTTCCTGCTTTGTCGAAGATTAGTTGACCATAGAGTTGAGGGTCTAATTTCTGGGCTCTCTATTCTGTTCCATTGATCTATGTGTCTGTTTTTCTTCCAGGACCATACTGTGTTGATGATGACAACTTTGTAATAGAGCTTGAAGTCTGGAATTGTGATGCCACCAACTTTGGCTTTCTTTTTGAAAATTCCTCTGGCTATTCGAGGTCTTTTCTGGTTCCACACAAATTTTAGGATCATTTGTTCCATTTCTTTGGAAAAAAATGGATGGGACTTTGATAGGGATTGCATTAAATGTGTAGATTGTTTTAGGTAGCATATTCATTTTCACAATAGCTGTTCTTCCAATCCAGGAGCATGGGACGTTTCCATTTCTTTGTGTCTTCCTCAATTCCTTTCATGAGTACTTTATAGTTTTCTGAGTATAGATTCTTTACCTCTTGGGTTAGGTTTATTCCTAGGTATCTTATGGTTTTGGGTGCAATTGTAAATGGGATTGATTCCTTAATTTCTCTTTCTTCTGTCTTGTTGTTGGTGTAGAGAAATGCAACTGATTTCTGTGCATTGATTTTATATCCTGACACTTTACTGAATTCCTGTCCAAGTTCTAACAGATTTGGAGTGGAGTCTTTTGGGTTTTCCACGTATAGTATCATATCATCTACGAAGAGTGATAGTGATAGTTTGACTACTTCTTTGCCGATTTGGATGCCTTTAATTTCTTTCTGTTGTCTGATTGCTGAGGCTAGGACTTCTAGTACTATGTTGAATAGCAGTGTGATAATGGACATCCCTGCCGTGTTCCTGACCTTAGCGGAAATGCTCTCAGTTTTTCTCCATTGAGAATGATATTTGCAGTGGGTTTTTCATAGATGGCTTTGATGATATTGAGGTATATGCCCTCTATCCCTACACTTTGAAGAGTTTTGATCAGGAAGGGATGCTGTACTTTGTCAATTGCTTTTTCAGCATCTATGGAGAGTATCGTATGGTTCTTGTTCTTTCTTTTATTAATGTATTGTATCACATTGATTGATTTGCGGATGTGGAACCAACCTTGCAGCCCAGGAATAAATCCCACTTGGTCGTGGTGAATAATCCTTTTAATGTACTGTTGAATCTTATTGGCTAGTATTTTGGCAAGAATTTTTGCATCTGTGTTCATCAAGGATATTGGTCTGTAGTTCTCTTTTTTGATGGGATCCTTGTCTGGTTTTGGGATCAAGGTGATGCTGGCCTCATAAAATGAGTTTGGAAGTTTTCCTTCCATTTCTATTTTTTGGAACAGTTTCAGGAGAATAGGAATTAGTTCTTCTCTAACTGTTTGGTAGAATTCCCCTGGGAAGCCTTCTGGCCCTGGGCTCTTGTTTGTTGGGAGATATTTGATGACTGCTTCGATCTCCTTACTGGTTATGGGTCTGTTCAGGTTTTCTATTTCTTCCTGGTTCAGTTGTGGTAGTTTATATGTCTCTAGGAATGCATCCATTTCTTCCAGATTGTCAAATTTGCTGGCGTATAGTTGCTCATAATATATTCTTGTAATGGTTTGTATTTCTTTGGTGTTGGTTGTGATTTTTCCTCTTTCATTCATGATTTTATTTATTTGGGTCCTTTCTCTTTTCTTTTTGATAAGTCTGGCTAGGGGTTTATCAATCTTATTAATTCTTTCAAGGAACCAGCTCCTAGTTTCATTGATTTGTTCTGTTGTTTTTTTGGTTTCTATTTCATTGAATTCTGCTCTGATCTTTATGATTTCTCTTCTCCTGCTGGGTTTAGGCTTTCTTTGTTGTTCTTTCTCCATCTCCTTTAGGTGTAGGCTTAGGTTGTGTACCTGAGACCTTTCTTGTTTCTTGAGAAAGGCTTGTATCGCTATATATTTTCCTCCCAGGACTGCCTTTGCTGTGTCCCACAGATTTTGAACCGTTGTGTTTTCATTATCATTTGTTTCCATGATTTTTTTCAATTCTTCTTTAATTTCCTGGTTGACCCATTCATTCTTTAGAAGGATGCTCTTTAGTCTCCATGTATTTGGATTCTCTGCAAATTTCCTCTTGTGATTGAGTTCTAGCTTCAGAGCATTGTGGTCTGAAAATATGCAGGGAATGATCCCAATCTTTTGATACCGGTTGAGACCTGATTTATGACCCAGGATGTGATTTATTCTGGAGAATGTTGCACGTGCACTAGAGAAGAATGTGTGTTCTGTTGCTCTGGGATGAAATGTTCTGAATATATCTGTGATGTCCGTCTGGTCCAATGTGTCATTTAAGGCCTTTATTTCCTTGTTGATCTTTTGCTTGGATGATCTGTCCATTTCAGTGAGGGGAGTGTTAAAGTCCCCTACTATTATGATATTATTGTTGATGCGTTTCTTTGATTTTATTATTAATTGGTTTATGTAGTTGGCTGCTCCCACGTTAGGGGCATAGATATTTAAAATTGTTAGATCTTCTTGTTGGACAGACCCTTCGAGTATGATATAGTGTCCTTCCTCATCTCTTATTATAGTCTTTGGCTTAAAATCTAATTGATGGTGATACAAGGATTGCCACCCCAGTTTTCTTCTGATGTCCATTAGCATGGTAAATTGTTTTCCACCCCCTCACTTTAAATCTGGAGGTATCTTCGAGTCTAAAATGAGTTTCTTGTAGGCAACATATAGATGGGTTTTGTTTTTTTATCCATTCTGATACCCTGTGTCTTTTGATTGGGGCATTTAGCCCATTTACATTCAGGGTAACTATTGAGAGATATGAATTTAGTGCCATTCTATTGCCTGTAAGGTGACTATTACTGTATATTGTCTCTACTCCATTCTGATCTACCACTTTTAGGCTCTCTTTTTGCTTAGAGGATCTCTTTCAGTATTTCCTGTAGAGCTGGTTTGGTGTTTACAAATTCTTTTAGTTTTTGTTTGTCCTGGAAGCTTTTTACCTGTCCTTCTATTTTCAATGATAGCCTAGCTGGACATAGTATTCTCGGCTGTATGTTTTCTCATTTAGTGCTCTGAATATATCATGCCAGTTCTTTCTGGCCTGCCAGGTCTCTGTGGATAAGTCTGCTGCCAATCTAATATTTTTACCATTGTATGTTACAGACTTCTTGTCCCGGGCTGCTTTCAGGATTTTCTTTTAGTCGCTAAGACTTGTAAATGTTGCTATTAGATGATGGGGTGTGGACCTGTTCTTATTTATTTTGAGGGGGATTCTCTGTACCTCCTGGATTCTGATGCTTTTATTTTCTCCTAGGCATTGCCTATGTGCTTTGCCACCACCGGGTAATAATGGTGTGTGGACCTTGCCTCTTTGTATTAAAAAACTATTGCTCAGAGGGATACTTAACTGAATGTTAAGTTTTAATACACATTCATAGTTCCCTATAGAAAAGAGATGTATTTCTTGACATAGTAAAAGATTAATCATGAATAATTCATGATTATAATATATTGAAGTAGCATGTTATATAGAGTAAGTTTTTTTTTTAATATTACCAGGTACAACTTTAGATACCAGTCACTATACTATTTTCTTCATTTCCTATTCTGATTTAAAGGGACCTTGTTACTCCTCTTCTCCCTATATACTTTTCAGTTTGTATCTAGCATATAGGCAAAGTTTGGAGTAATTGTTCCTTTAAACTTCATTCTGCCTGCTTCCTGCTCCAATGAGGGATTTAATTGTGATTGTATTTGCCATTTCTTTGTAAATGTATATCAAATTTGTGAGACTTTGAATTTAAATTACCATGTTTTCTCACTCTTCCCTTTTAATTTTAGGATACAGAATTGGTTGATTTAGATTCAGATGGTCCTGGTACTTCATCTGGGAGAAGGGTGAGTAAGTAAAATAACCTGCCAAAAAGAAAAATCTTCAGGCTTCCTGTGTTAGGGATCCCTAAGACCAACTCCACCTGTTTGGAAAATTGCTATAAAGACTCATAGAACTCAGTATATATACTTGTGATTCATTACTAAGGTTTATTCCAGTGACATATAATAAAGGATATACAGTTGGATCACAGGGAAATAACCACAGGGAGAATCTGGAGGAATCCATGTGTAGGCTTTTTTTGCTTTCTGCCTTCTTTGAGGGGCCAAACAGAGCACACTCTTCCCGTACAATGAAATATATATGTGATTAGAGACTAACACCCCAAGAATTTATTTGGAACTGGTTATATATAGATACTGTTTGTCTAGCATATCCCAAGATTCCAGGCTCCCAGAAGCAAGAAAGCATAGGAAAAGTACAGGAAAGCAAGTGTTCCATACAAATCACATTGTTTGTACAAATAGTGTAGACACAGTAAACCATCTTTAGTATTTAGGAATGGTTCAAATGCCAATTATCCAGAATGCCAGCCAGAGGCCAACCTTACAAGCAAGCTCTGGTAAAGATAGCAGCCTCAGGTCTGTTATGTTAGCTCTGTTCTGTACACTTCCCCTCCATAGTAATTAGACAAGTTCTTATTCTATATAGGGAAAATTTTCTTTGAAATACTGAAAGAAATCTTATAAAAAGGCATCCAATGGTAAAGGCTAGAATGTACCATGACAAGAAAATGTATATAGATACACAGAGCATATGGATAATATGGATATATATATGTATATACACACACACATGCACACACACACACACACAACAAAAGATATATATATATATACACACATACACAATTAATAAATAGATAATATATAAACATATATATGTTTGAGTTTTGAGAAAATTATGATGTCATTGTTAAGTATACTTAACTACCAGTAAATATTAAGGCATTAAGATTATTAACCTTATAAGGAAAAAAATGTTTCTCTGTGTTTTATTTGTGGTTCAGATTTTCTTAAAATGAAATTTCAGAATACTAGAATTCTTGGTATTTCCATGAGTATACTGTCTAGTTTTTATTATATATATTTTTGTCAGGCAGAATGATGTCTAAATTAAGAAACTTAAATAGCAGCTCCTCTATGTTACATAGATTTATTAACATAGGAACGCAGGAGAAAATCAATGAATAGTTAAGAAAAGAGCTTTTATATATAATTCTGTTAAAATCTACAGGTCAAATGCCGAGGCAGAAGACAGTCTTTAAGGTGTAATCCTGATGCTTGGAGAAAACAATGCAAAGAACTATTGAGCCTCATTTATGAACGTGAAGATGCAGAGCCTTTTCGACAGCCAGCTGATCATCTTTCTTATCTAGTAAACATACACTTGTTTAACAACTTATCTAGTAAACATACACTTGTTTAAATAATTGCCAATATGTAATTTCCCCACAAATATACATGCTAAAATATAGTTTGAAGCCACTTTTCCTCTTTTTTCCTTCCTTCTTTCCTCCATCCCTTCTTCCCTCCCTACTTCCTTTTCCTTCCTTTTTCATATGTCTTTTAATTGTAAAAGTGGGTAGTATGATTAATGATAATGAAGTTCCAGTCATGTACTTTGTGTGTAAATTATATAGTTGTGAACCAAATCTAAATCTAAATATCTTTGCAATCCCTTCCTGCTTTCATTTTGGATATTTTTAAATAAATTTTACTAATTTCTAATACATTTCTACTCACTGGAGACCCCTCATAACATGTCAGCCTGTTTAATTTATACTTAATGTGTTATCCAGTAGGATCACTTAGAGTAATTAATGTATGCCATATTACTTTTCATCAAAGATAAAAAATGAGAACTATTATAGGATTCTTTTTTTAGGAGTGTATCTGTTGAATAACTGTTTAGTATAGATAGCAAATCTATCTTAAGTTTTTCAGAGAAAAATTATAGCAGTATTTCAGAAATGCATCAGACCATCCTCTGAAATTAGTAAACATAAATGTTTTCTGCATACACAGGTTTTAGTTGGGAAAAAATATTCACATAAAAAACAAAATTATGTTCAACAAAGCTCATTTTGTTTGTAAGGAGTTTGAGTAGAATAAATTAGTTTTGTGTTTCTCATAGTAGAGGACAATGGTGAATGTAGAATTCTTTCATCTTAAAGTACAGTCAGTAAAAACCTGAATCCTATTTATTACTTAAAGCTTTAAATCATTATTGCTTTGCCAACTTGATATTTTGTTGTAGTATTCTGGAAATAAAATATATCTTCTTTACCCTAATAGGGCCATCAAGAACAAGAGGGAGAATCCTCAGAGTCAGTTGTTGCAGAAAGACAAGAGCCATCTCTTTCTGAGGTAGACCTAGGTTGTCTCTTAAAAGACATGCACTGGTTGTTTTTATATTGTTCTACTTTTTAAAATTCACATACTGTAAATGAAACTTTTATAATTTGTAAAGCTGTGTTCCAATTCTTCATACTCTTTTTGTCTTTGATTTTTTTTTGGTGGTTTATGTTTTTGTTTTGTTTTGTTTTTTTGTGGGTTTTTTTTTGTTTTTTTAAGGTTTTATTTTTTTAAAGATTTTTTTATTTTGTTTAGATCGATAGAGACCACAAACAGTGGGGAGGGGCAGAAGGAGAGGGAGAGAAGGATACTCCACGCTGAGTGTGGCGCCTTACACAGGGCTCGATCTCAAGACCCTGAGATCATGACCTGAGCCAAAGCCAAGAATCAAATGCTTAACCAACTAAGCCACCTAGGCACCCTTGTGTTTTTGGTTTTTAAATCATCACGTGTTTCCAAGTATGTTCTTTATGGCATCTGCATACAAATAATTGTTTCTATAGACCTAAAGTTACTGTAGTGGAGTAGAAAACATTAATTGCACAATATGTCTGTATTGCAGCTGATTGTATCCACTGGGACTTCATTCAGCCACCTTATGGGATCTTTTGAGTTTTGGTTACATTATACAAGTCCAACATATTTCCTCTATGAAAATCTTTGTTTCATAAGTTATGTATGTTGGAATATACTTTTGTTGTTATGATGTAAGACAAAAATATTTTTAAAGATAGATTAAGAGCAATTGTGGTCTCTTACACTTGGAAATATTTTCACATTTTTTTTATAATTTATAATTTATAATATACTTTTCCTCTGCCCATTCTTCTGGATTTTTGGCTCCTCTGAAAGAAATGTGGTGATTGTTACTTAATGAATTTAAATGAGATGAGAGATCTAATACTGACTATTTTTTTCACTCTGGTGTTTAGTTCTTGATGGTTATGATATATATAAGTATAACTTTTAGATTGCATTCTATATGATAAACCTAGGCATATCTTAACAAGACTTGACAGATTTAGGTTAAAATAGAATCTTCTCCCTTCCCTAATCAAAATCAAACTAATTCATAATTTATGAGACACAGACCTCCAATGAAGCACAAGTGTCATATTCATTAAAAAGCAAAAATATAGGAGCTAGGCACAGACATGGCCAGTTTGACTTTGACCTTCAACTAATGACATTTTAGGTAGAATGCCCTCCTAGCTAGAAATAGCTTGGAAATATGTAATTAATTTGTGACATGGAACTATTTAATTATATGTGAATAAACCCATCTTCTACCTTTATTGGGCGCTTTGCTAGGCATTTGGGGGCTCCTTCAGCCTTTAAGTAAAAAATGGAATTTTGTATTCTGTAGGGATAAAGCCAGTGGCTGTGCATTTTCTATTCTGTCTCTTGAGAGAATCATATGGTTATCGATTTCAGGGTGAAGGCTAAGACTCTCCCAGAGACCTCTGCTCTTTTCCTGAGCTACCAAAGGAATTCTGTTTAAATGAATGGTTTTGATTAGAGTAGATAGTTGGCAGATTGAAAAGCAGTGTGTTTATTTCATGGTGGATTGGTGATGCAAATCTCAGTACCATTGTATTATGTAGTATTGCTACCCAGCTTGTATATTTAATAACACATTCTTCCTTGTAGGATTATCCAGATATTACAGACACTCCTATGGACTTCAGCACTGTGAAAGAAACTTTGGAAACAGGAAATTATGGTAGTCCTCTGGAATTTTATAAGGATGTTCGCCAAATATTCAGCAACTCCAAAACTTATACCTCTAATAAAAAGTCAAGGGTATGCAAAAAAAACAATACTAGGTGGATTAATTACTTAGGCATTTACATATATATGTATATCAGGTAGTTTTCTTTCATTAGTTTTAAAACTGCTTATACTTTCTAAAGAAGTATATTACAGTTCTGACATGGTTACTGCAGTGTGATATTTTCCCTATGTTTTGTTAGAACTTAAATATCTTATGAAAAAAAATAGTAATAATAATTTTTGTTTTTTGTAATCACTGGTGTCTGATTAACTTTTAAATCAGTTGTGCACTAGATATATATTTGCCCACTTTCAACTTGTATAAAATGAATTTTCACTAATTTCTGCAGGCATAATTTTTTTCACTTTTGGTTTTCTTCCTACATATGTACGACATATGTTTATATACTATTTGAAACTCTAAGTTTCATATTTTGAAGCCCTTTATCAGCTTATATATTATGAACATTTTCCCATATCATGTATTCTGCTGTGTGGTTGTTTTATGTTACTTAACCAGTACCCTAGTGCTTGAGATTTAGGTGGTTTCTAGTTTTTAATTTTACATGAATAATGCTGTGGCTTTCATCTTTAACATCCTTGAACATAATTATTTTGTGTGTGCAATTCTCTGATATTTATTTAGAATAAATTCCCAGAAGCAAAATTATTAGTGAAAGGATCAATATATTTTTAATATTTTTGGTACATAATGCAAATTGTATTTTAGAATGTTGTTCCAGTTAAAATATTCACTGGCAATGTATGAGAATCTTTTTTCTACCCTTCCCAACATTGGATATGATTTTTTTTAATGATCTTTGTTACTTTCTAGGTGAAAATGATATTTTAATTCTTTAGGAAGAGGTTTTCAAGTATATGAAATTGCACATTTATTTTGTCTGAAAGATTGACGCTGATGCTAGTCTTAGATATATATATACTTTCTATTTTATATAATTAAAGTAGTTGATTTCTGCCTTTTCAGATCTATAGCATGACACTGCGATTATCTGCCTTATTTGAAAGTCATATTAAAAATATCATCTCTGAATATAAGTCAGGAATGCAGAGTCAGAAGAGGAGGCGGCCACGGTACAGAAAACGTCTAAGAAGCAGTAGCAGTTCATTATCTAGTAGCAGAGCTCCTAGGTATGTTACACATATGTAGGATTTTATGTTTTAAGGCACTTTGTATATATTACCTCATTTTTTAAGGTTTATTGAATAGTTTGAGAAGATCCAAAGACCAAAGATTTTTTTTAAGAACTCTTATTATTGTGTAAAGATGGAGTTGGTAACCCAAAGCTTTGTTTATGTGGATTTTATTATGCCAAAAGCTATTTTTTTTTTAATTTTGATGATTACCAGTTTGAAGCATTTCACTTAAATTATAAGGCATTTCTTTGGTCAGCTTAAGCATTTGTATCATACTGTCTATCATAATATGTTGGTAGTAGAAAAAATGTTCATTTTTATATATTTTAAATTGTAGTCCCAAAGGGAAGCAGAAACAAATGAAGTTGCAGCCTAAAAATGACCAGAATACCTCAGTGTCTTATGCCAGGACTAGCTCTCCTTTCTCGTCTCCTGGTAAATATCTTTTGTTTTTGGTGTTCTGTATTTCAGTTTAATACTGATATTAAGCATGTAGAAGAGGCAGCATGATTTATAGTATGAAAAGCATTGGATTTGGATGTAGAAAGTTGTGCTTTATTCCCATTTCTTCTAACTGTGTGGCCCTGGGTAAGATATTAGGCCATAGAATTCAGTTTTATTTTTAAAATGAAAGTGTTGAGACTAGATGAATTTTGAAGTCTTTTTGTTTTACAATTCTGTTAACTATAATTTTTAACTCTATAATATCTCAGAGCACTAATTTACAACATATTTGCAAACATAAAAATTAAAAATTCATCATCTGGGGAGGTGGTTTTATTGGACAGGTTTTTCTGACATTCTGTGCTTGAAAACTTAATGATGTGATAAAATATTTGTTCTCAATATATTTATATTTCCCTCTTCAGACAGCTTGTATTTTTGATGTTGGAGTAAAGTAACCGAGTGAGATATAGTTTTAAAAACAGCTTGTTTAATTTTCCTGAAAACATGCTAATGTATGTTAATATTACAGTCTTTTTACATGTAAGTTTCAGATGCTGCTGAAGGCCTTTCATTATATTTACTGGATGATGAAATGGATGGGCCGTTTTCTTCATCGAGCTTCAGTGGTTATAGCAGAAGTGGAAATAGTCATGACCCAGGGAAAGCCAAATCATTTCGGAATAGAGTTTTACCAATTAAACAAGGTAGGAAATAAATATGGACAGGGCATTTATTCTCTGTTCTCTTACGGTGACAGATGAATTATTTAAAAGCTGATGTGTTTAGGTAGTAAAAATTAACATGCCCTTATAGTTAATGACAATTTTAATGTTGTGTTAAATTTGAGTAAGATAGGGGTTCATATCCACAATCAGGAACAAGCCATGAGCAGATTTCAATAACTACTTCAAAATATATGTTAGTCTTTTAAAATAAAATATGAAATAATAAGGAGGAAAAACTAAATGAAGAGCTATTTCAAACCAAATCCTTTTTTGAAATTGAGATAGCCCTTAAAAATATAAAGCCTATCTAAAGATGATTTTGGAATTTTTTTCCTTTGTTATTAATATAGTTTAATATATGAAACATATTTTTATTTTTTGTAAATTTTAATGAAAGATTAAGTAGCATATCCATTATTGTTGAACTATCAATGACTTAAAAATGGACTTTTCTAAACATATAATTTATATTGGTATATGAAAGATATTGAAATATTTGATTACTTTAAAATATTTAGTGCCTTTATTTTTCCCAATTTGTATCTTTATTCTCTTCTCTGATTGTGCTGCACATTGACTGCTCATGCCACTTTCTTGTCTTTTTTCCCTCCCCTTCATTGTCAAGCTATTAGAATAGCTTTTATTTCTTGTTTCTGTTTTCTTTCTAAAAGTTCCTTTATCCTTTATTGTCTGGCTTCTGACACCACCACTCTCCAAAAGCTGTTCTCTCCAGAATCACCTATTCTCTTTAGTAATCAACAGTGTTCTGTTCATAGTCTCTATCTCCTTGATTTTTTCCGTCTTTACATACTATTAAATACCCCTCCTAGGAACTCTCCTGCCAGGCTTCTTTCCTGATTTTATTGTACATCTCTGTTTTCTTACATTTCTGTATTTTCTGTTTCTTTTCTTTGACTGTACTTACCTCCTATTTGCAGAGTTTTCCACAGGTTTCTTGATTTGCTTGTTTTGGGCTTTTTTTTTTCTTTGGGTCTTCTGCAAATAATCTGGTAACTACATCAATCATCTTTATGCTGATGACTCTCCAAATTCACATATCTAGCCCTAACATTTCGTTATTCTACCAGTTTCATCTCCATGTGCTTCCTAAGATAATTTCCTTGGGTGCTTATCATCCATCTTTCTGTGTCAAACTTACTTCTATTTCTGCACTCACTATTTTAGTTAATTACACCACCATCTTCCTAGTCACCCAACTTAAAATCTTGCAGTGTTCTTAGACACTTCTTTTACCCCTCATATCTAGTCAGTTGCTAAGTTTTGTGAATTCTAAAACTTTTTTTTTAATTTTATTTTTTATAAACATATAATATACTTTTATCCCCAGGGGTACAGGTCTGTGAATCGCCAGGTTTACACACTTCACAGCACTCACCATAGCACATACCCTCCCCAATGTCCATAATCCCACCCCCCCCAACCCCCCTCCCCCCATCAACCCTGTTTGTTTTGTGAGATTAAGAGTCACTTATGGTTTGTCTCCCTCCCAATCCCATCTTGTTTCATTTACTCTTCTCCTACCCCCTTAAGCCCCCATGTTGCATCTCCTCTCCCTCATATCAGGGAGATCATATGATAGTTGTCTTTCTCCGATTGACTTATTTCGCTAAGCATGATACCCTCTAGTTCTATCCACGTTGTCGCAAATGGCAAGATTTCATTTCTTTTGATGGCTGCATAGTATTCCATTGTGTATATATACCACGTCTTCTTTATCCATTCGTCTGTTGATGGACATCTAGGTTCTTTCCATAGTTTGGCTATTGTAGACATTGCTGCTATAAACATTCGGGTGCACGTGCCCCTTCGGATCACTACGTTTGTATCTTTAGGGTAAATACCCAGTAGTGCAAATGCTGGGTCATAGGGTAGTTCTATTTTCAACATTTTGAGGAACCTCCATGCTGTTTTCCAGAGTGGTTGGACCAGCCTGCATTCCCACCAACAGTGTAGGAGGGTTTCCCTTTCTCCACATCCTCGCCAGCATCTGCCATTTCCTGACTTGTTAATTTTAGCCATTCTGACTGGTGTGAGGTGATATCTCATTGTGGTCTTGATTTGTATTTCCCTGATGCCGAGTGATATGGAGCACTTTTTCATGTGTCTGTTGGCCATCTGGATGTCTTCTTTGCAGAAATGTCTGTTCATGTCCTCTGCCCATTTCTTGATTGGATTATTTGTTCTTTGGGTGTTGTTTTTGCTAAGTTCTTTACAGATTTTAGACACTACCCTTTATCTGATATGTCATTTGCAAATATCTTCTCTAATTCTGTCAGTTGTCTTTTGGTTTTGTTAACTGTTTCCTTTGCTGTGCAAAAGCTTTTGATCTTGATAAAATCCCAATAGTTCATTTTTGTCCTTG